CCAGCGACCCGACCCCTCCATGTTTCACACAACCATGCTGTACCCTAAAGGCACTTCCGTTACCAAGCTGGAACCCGATTTGCCGTCAAAAATATTTTGTACAGTACAATTTTTGATCAGTAATATTGCAAACAATTTATTTTCATATATTACATGTACAATGTATCATTAGTATCGAATTATGTCAAACATGTTTTGCACACATCACCTCGGACTGAGACGTAGAGAGAGAGAGATCAATTCTCTGACATAGAAGAGTAGTAGAAAAAGGGCTGCGAGCCAAAACGCACAAGTATAACCTTATTGCAAAGCTGACAATTATAAATTACCAACATCTATTTACTGTTTCCTACACAGAACCAGCGGCATTGAAGAAAAAACTGTCAATGGTTCGCTGCTGACTCTGTAGTTGAGATCGATAAATCAATAACAAGCTCATTTCATATCGAACATACTGTTTTCATTGAGCGTTATTCCCTCTATAGTATTACATATTAGAAAATGAATGTTAACGTAGACACTACAATTCAACTGGTATATTCGCAAAAACAGAAAGAAATGAAAAATCAAAAATGAGATCAAAATAAAAAAATGGAGAAAACCGTTTATTGACGAAGGATGCACTGCTTAGCATCGCGCCGCGTCCGCTTTGCGTGACGCTCCGCGTGTGACGTGTTTTGCGATTAACTCTGCGGATAGTTCAGATTTGCGATGTTCGCCGATGCAGTTGGCTGGCATGACATTCGCAACGCCAACGATTTTTGGTAGAAGTCTTCGTCGGAGGAGAATTGCGTGATCGACGGACTGAAGCTGAAATGGAGATATATTGGACTTTGTAAATGAATATTTTCAGTTTTTATCAAAGAGAAGTGATTCCTTTGGGACTTGCTGGAGACTTGTCGGTTGGGAGATCCGTGTTGCGGAGACAGGTAAAATCTGCGCTGCAAGTGGTGTCACGCACGTGACGTAGGGTCACTTCACATCGTGCTTTGAGGACTCCTCTTCACCCTCAACGTGCAACGGCAGCTTTCTGGGGAAAAAGCAGGAAATTTCGGGAAAAACCTCCGGAAAAGTGGTAGGAAGTTAGTGAAATTAAGAGCGATGATAGGTAGGATGGGAATGGGGAAGCGAGGGGTGTCGTATCGGAGGAGGGAAAAAGACGTATTTTGAAGAAACTTTCTCCAACGGATAGCGTATACCTGCTCCTGCACAGGGTAGTGCATCGCTGGGCAGAAGCTCGATCAGAGGGTCGTGCTTGTCGTTGGGGAGGAGAAGGGCCGTTGTTGTTCAATGGCAGACCAACTAAGTTGGCGTATGTGGGTACGTAGGTAGTACATATGGCGCATTTATACGGCAGTGATAAAATCTTTTAGACACGACGGTCAGCGAAAAACTCTCCAAAAATTACCGTCAATTGCTGTGCAGCACAAAAGATTTTTCGCAGGTTCTGTCCGGTCTTAAACTTCCTTTTTCCGACTTTTCAATGCTAGGTATATGAGTGCCCTAACTCGATTTTTGAGCAATTACTAGATTGTAGTGACCGTATACTTTGACTATACCGTCCCCAAGTTGACGTAAGAAAATCATTTCCAGCGCCACTAATTTGCACTGCGATTATCTGGCAAAGCTTATACTGTAATGTCTAAAACTGGTATTTGGGCTTTAAATGACACCATCTGCGGCTAAGGGTTTGCGACTGTTCTCTTTAATATTCGCAAGCAGGCCTTGTGCCAGTACGAGGCCGCCACTTACATACTGCACATGAACCTGACAGGAATGGCTTCTCATACACTCGTGTGAGGACTGAGCCTCTCACTTTCACCAGTGCTCAACAAAGTAGCTTAGTAGAGTCTGAATCTGTCACCAGTTACTTGTTAGTCTCGATGAACGAAACTCGTTTCTCGATGTATGTCTCTAGAATAGTGCAGTCATCGCGCTAGAATATATAAAAGGCGCAGCTGGCCAAATCCCCAAGACGACTAGGATCAATACTCCTGGCAGGATAGAATTCCGCGACCCTGGGCAGGCGCTGCATAGCGGTTTCCCGAAAAGGTGCCCTTATAAGGGCCCTATCAAGCCACAACTTTACGTCCCAAACGCCCGCCACGCCCGCCCGCCCACAAATGGACGACCGTTCCTGACGCTCTAATCGATTCATTTGCTAAGCAAATTATGAAGCGAAGGATTGGTATGAAGCGGCGTGATGCTGCATGCATATATGGGTACACATATGCAGCCGTATCTTCGGTAGCGGTGATTGGTAAGATGCCTACGGGAAACGTCCGAAATCGATTTTCAAGTCACTGAGAACGGAGGCTTTTTCTTCGCAGATTTTGACCGTTTCACTCCGTTCTTTCGCCATTTCCCCACTATACAGCGCCCTACTAGCATTTTAGGCTAAGTAGGAAACCATCGTGCAACTGCCTTTGAGCTTTGTGAGGTCCTAAATCTGGACTAATGTGCGGCAAGTCAGATAAACGAATCTGGACCTATGACCACTATTCCTGCGATAAAATTAAGAAAAGGTTTTACGTCGGGATTAGTCATCGGCAAAAGACTGGACCTCAGCAAGATCTCGAACATAGGTGGACCTTACTAGTTTGCTAACCCGGTGAACGAGGGCCCAGATTTCCATCGATGGTTCTTAGGATGTTTGGAAAACAAAACTTTTTCTCTTAAGTTTTCTGTTGGTCACTTTATAACACATTCATTCAGGAGCAATACCCTCATAATGAACTTTCTGCTAAACTTACTTGGTAATAGGATTTGTAAAGGAGTTCGTAGAATACGGCGGTGTAGCTGTGGGATATGGCATTTGTCGTGGATAAGACGGATACCTGCAAGGAGAAAGGTTTAAGATTATGGTTAAAGTGGCTTACTGTAAGCTGAATCGATCGATATATTGATCGACGCCTTAACTTTCGGAAAGCTGAATGTCGCTGCGTTCGTGAGAACGAGTCATTTTTGAAAGAGCTCTGTACTCACCAAAAACTATCACGAGGGTTACCCAGCGGTGAGGGATACATACCCTGCCGCATGATATTGCTTGCCGGATTGGCGGCGAAAATCGCTTGATGTGGATTGAGCGTCTGAACGAGAGATTGTTATATGAAGGCAGCTATGGAGTTATTCATATTATATTTACTGAATAAGATTTCAGGTGCAATTGCGGAAGCTACTTAGGAGTTTACGGTAAATGGATACAGTAACGACACTCACTTTGTTCAGCTGTTTCTCCTGTTTTCTATGTTTGGCTCGCCGATTTTGGAACCATACCTGAAATGGGGGTTGATTTGGAAGGAATGGTGTGTAGATTCAATTGGTATAAATAATTTCTGATTCTATATGTAACTTATGGTTAGAATTTCATGTGGAATTTAAGCAGTAGGTTGAGGAAATATTGAAGCTCTTCGCAATGTCATTGTAACGCTGTGAAATAGGAAGTTTCGGATTATTGGTCCATACCATCTTCATTTTCATTTGAATGCTTTTTATTGCAATATTTTTTCAAATATAAAAAATCAGAAATCCGGAGGTCCGCGTACGCGCAGGAGCTGGACACCCTAAAAGTTATCGCTCCTTGGGAGCTGTAGAACGCAGATAACGGGCAGGCAGTCCCAGTCCTGCAGATGGCTAAGGCTTTTCAGAAAATTACTTTAGAGATCAAAGATTTTCACCGATGGTTCTTATCAGTGGACCATCCAAGTTCTGATAGGAGCGTTACTTTGAACCACACATACTTGCCCCCTGTGGGAGGTTGCGTAATGGGTCCACTTTTCAGAAATGCTGGGTCAACCTACTGTTACAAGAGAACACATCTCCCTGTCCGCTCTGAACTGTGAAGGGATTTTTCCTGTATGCCGTCGCATCCTCCTAGTCTTCTCGTTCGGCACAACTCCCCTTTTCATCTTTAACTTAAGAGATCAACCAACAATCTTAAAAACACATGGTACGCATAACAATGGGACGCGCACATTGAGGGTGTATGAGACTATCAGCCCCCCAGCTGTCGATGTGTCGTGGTCCCCCCCCAAAACTGCACGGGGTCAGAGTACGGGCCGTGGGAAAGTCGTAACTCCTTGCTACGCCGCCCATTTCGCAAGCTCACGTTTATACTTCCACCGTCAGCGCGGCTCGGTCGCGTTCAGTCTCTTGGCTTTTGCCAGGCACGCGCGCGGTCGCGTGCAGTCTCTTGGCTTTTTGCCAGGGCGCGGCGCGGTCGCGTGCAGTCTCTTGGCTTTTTGCCAGGGCGCGGCGCGGTCGCGTGCAGCTCTATTGGCTTTTTGCCAATTCCTGCAATTGCGCTTCGGAATACAAGAAAAACGCAATTTCTTAATGCAGGTAACATTATAGGTGCTGCAAAATGAGGACCGGAGATGATGACGTGAGGTAGAGTTCTGAAGCAACTGCGCGGTTCCTGCAGCGTTCCTCTGAGACCGCACATTCCCACGAGAACCTGAAAAATAAATAAAAGGCGCTAAGCGCCGCCCCACTTGTTTCAAGTATTTTGATAGCTTTGGAGTCGGATTCGAGCCGGATCGAGAAATTCACACGCGATTTGAACTAATTTTCGTTTCTTTAGTTTTTTCAATATTGTTTTATTTACATCTGGTTGTTCTTCATTTCTAGCCTTTGTTATCTTCACCACCCTCTTTCGGAGTTTGAACACCGCAACACCTCAAATGTTAGTAAATTGCGTTTTGCTTGTACTGTCGTGTTTTATTTTCACGTTGTCCGTTTTTATTGTCTTGTTCTGTGGGAATGTGCGGTCTCAGAGGAACGCTGCAGGAACCCGCAGTATGACTTCAGAACTTCTAACTCCACTGTGCCGGTGTCGCTATCATCATCTCCGGTCCTTATTTTGCAGCACCTATAATGTTACCTGCATTAAGAAATTGCGTTTTTCTTGTATTCCGAAGCGCAATTGCAGGAATTGGCAAAAAGCCAATAGAGCTGCACGCGACCGCGCCGCGCCCTGGCAAAAAGCCAAGAGACTGCACGCGACCGCGCGCCCTGGCAAAAAGCCAAGAGACTGCACGCGACCGCGCCGCGCTGACGGTGGAAGTATAAACGTGAGCTTGCGAAATGGGCGGCGTAGCAAGGAGTTACGACTTTCCCCAAGGCGCCGCCCCTCACTCTGACCCCGTGCAGTTTTGGGCGGGCGGAACGGGGTCACACAAGTCGACAGGCTGGGGGGCTCTGATAGTCTACATAAACACCCCCAAATGTTTGACGCGTACCATGTGTCTTTAACAAAAACTTCCGAAAATTTTTGAGCGGGGAGGAGGGGGGGCGGTTGGTTAAGTGGCGCCTGATCAACTACGCTCCGAGCTTTATTTAGAAGCCTCGTACTCTGCCCTATTTTTGTCGCTATTTTTTAAGTGATAACTCAATCAGCATCTAAGAAGTCATGATTCGCGCCGCTGCCCCACCCCACAAATTGCAAATCGTTTGAGTGACTATGAGTAGGCGCCAGACAAGCAGCTGAGTTTAACCTTTCAGCGGCTGCAGCTGTCTTCCACGGCAAGCCTTCGTAGAAGCTGACAGGCACAGCGTCGGCAACCTGCCATTTAACGACTGGTATCAGCCCTACTGACGACTGCAAGTTCGCGACGGGGAGGGGGGGGGGCATTCTGCCTTTTCTACCATTCCATTCAGCGATGTCGGGCCATCGGTACGAGCCTCGAGGTTGCACAGGTTTTTGTTCATGGTGGCTGAGACGAGCTTGCTAAAGTTACGCAAACGTATCACCGCTGTTTCACTCAGAGTGAGCGTTTAAACCGGAAACTATGAAGCCGTGCGTAAACGCGCAAAATGCCTCGCCTCCCCCTCCCGTCGCTGAACAGTGCCCCTACTGACCACAACCTGGTGAAAAACTTGGTTCTGGCAAGGAGTCAACCCCACAAATAGGGCCACTGGAAGGTTCCCGTTCCGCGTTGCTCATATGTTAGCGGCCCTTTTCGTGCTTGTGCCGTCCATTTTCTAGGGTTGCCCAGATAAGGACCGAAGTTCATGGAGCGCTGATAACGTTGCCTGGCTAAAGACCTCATCATTATTGTTTCAGAGCCTTATTGAGTTTCCTCGGAAGAACATCGTGAGCGCTGAGATTGAGTGAAATCAGTACGTAACTGGCCTCATGACGACTAAATTCGATTTGCCTCCCCCTGAAGGCGGTTTTATTGACGCTTGATAGGTTGACGCCAGAAGGAGCCGGTTCCTATGATGCCATAGCCCGAGGGTTTATTCAGGAAGAAATAATGAGCGAAACCTCTCAATATTTGAGGACCATGACCATCTTTGCTCCCACCTACCCGAATTTCGTCCGCAGTTTAGACTCTTCTAAATGTCTGAGTGATTCAGCAGGACCCATCACCAGCCAAGAAGCCCCTTTTCTGTCAGTCTGCTTCCCCCATCAACGCCGTCCGACTGGTTCTGTATAAAGCGCCTGAATAGAAGGGTGCCGTAGGGCGGGTGCCAATAATTCAATTGTATGGCGTATGAGAAGGGGGATTGATTAGGGACCGACGGCGTCCGGATTACGGTAACCGACTGCCGGCCTGACATCGACGGCCGTTTCGGCCGTGGCTACACATCCGCACATAGCTCCATACATGCAACTCACTCGCTGCATGCCGTTTAATGCACACACCGCTGACATTCATTCACACCCTCCTACACAATGCGTTAATGAACCAATGGATACGGTAATGACGTCACGATACCGTATTGCCGTTTGTTGGGTATTGTTGCGAAATTCTGCGGAGTTGCAACAGTCGTTAAAGACGCTGGCAAAACCTTAATGAACCCTATTCAGCCTCAGTGGAGATGTCGGAATGAATGCAGTCTTGAACTCTTAGCTCTGCTAAACTACTGTATGTACAAGAAGAAGCCCCTGAACAGCCCTAGTGACTAGCCCCTGGACATTATCAGCTGTTTATCATCAACTAGTTTAATAGCAGGTAGTTATCACATAATTGGTAGCAAAAGATAATCATTCATCCTCTAAGCCTTTGAAAAGGTCCTGTTCGTTTTATAGGGGGGGGGAGGAAGCAGCATCCCTGCCATGAAAAACAAACATTATGGGTGGCCGTTCGCGAAATCAGTGGCTCTTCCTTGGGCAGGTGGGAGGAAATCGCTGGCGAAGCCTATCAGA